ACTTGGGAAAATAAAAGAAAAGAAAATAACTACAATTTTTGCTTTAATAAGTTTAATAACAACATTAAAAAATCGATCCGTGAATTTGAGAGGATTAAAATAAAATAGACATAATATGTCCATGGTCGAATTAAGATATGCTGCCTATATATATGTATATGTGTGTGTGTGCACTTGGGAAAAATAAAAGAAATAACCAAAACTACGGCGCCTTTCTTAATCAGTTTTCTAACAACATTAAAAAATTGATCCGTGAATGTGAGAGGATCGAAATAAGGATGAGTATACATAATAATTCCAGATTATTCAATCAAACATGCTTGAATGAATATAGGCTTCCTATATATATATATATATATATATGTGTGTGTGTGTGTGTGTGTGTGTGAGTGTGTGTGTTGAATTTATTCATCGTCTTTAGTCAATTGTGAATCACTTTTCGTAAACAATAAAAAAAGACAGAAAAGAAACTGAAAGGCAAACGAGGAAGAAAATAACAAAAAAGAGAGAAAAGAAACAGAAAAGCAAACGAGGAAGAAAAGGAATAAAAAAGAGAGAAAAGAAACTGAAAGGCAAACGATTAAGAAAAGGAAAAAGAGAGAGAGATTAGACACTGAATGGCAAATGATGAAGAAAAGGAAAAATGAGAGAGAAAAGAAACTGAGAGGCAAACAATGAAGAAAAGGAAAGAAAAGGAGAGAAAAGAAACAGAAAGGCAAACGATGTATAAAAGGAACAAAAGAGAGAGAAAAGAAACAGAAATGCAAACGATGAAGAAAAGAAAAAAGGGAGAGAAAAGAAACAGAAAGGCAAACGGTGAAGAAAAGGAAAAGGAGAGGGAGAAAAGAAACAGAAATGCAAACGATGAAGAAATGGAAAAAAGAGAGAAAAAAAACAGAAAGGCAAACGATGAAGAAATGGAAAAAAGAGAGAGAAAAGAAACAGAAAGGCAAACGATGAAGAAATGGAAAAAAGAGAGAGAAAAGAAACTGAAAGGCAAACGAGGAAGAAATGGAAAAAAGAGAGAAAAGAAACAGAAAGGCAAACGATGAAGAAATGGAAAAAAGAGAGAGAAAAGAAACAGAAAGGCAAACGATGAAGAAATGGAAAAAAAAAGAGAGAAAAGAAACAGAAAGGCAAACGATGAAGAAATGGAAAAAAGAGAGAGAAAAGAAACAGAAAGGCAAACGATGAAGAAATGGAAAAAAGGGAGAGAAAAGAAACAGAAAGGCAAACGGTGAAGAAAAGGAAAAGGAGAGGGAGAAAAGAAACAGAAATGCAAACGATGAAGAAATGGAAAAAAGAGAGAGAAAAGAAACAGAAAGGCAAACGATGAAGAAATGGAAAAAAGAGAGAGAAAAGAAACAGAAAGGCAAACGATGAAGAAATGGAAAAAAAAGAGAGAAAAGAAACTGAAAGGCAAACGATGAAGAAATGGAAAAAAGAGAGAGAAAAGAAACAGAAAGGCAAACGAGGAAGAAAAGGAACAAAAGAGTAAGAAAAGAAACAGAAAGGCAAATGATGAAGAAAAGGAAAAAGAGAGAGAGAAAAGAAACAGAAAGGCAAATGATGAAGAAAAGGAAAAAGAGAGAGAGAAAAGAAACTGAAAGGCAAACGATGAAGAAATGGAAAAAAGAGAGAGAAAAGTAACAGAAAGGCAAACGATGAAGAAATGGAAAAAAGAGAGAAAAGAAACAGAAAGGCAAACGATGAAGAAATGGAAAAAAGAGAGAGAAAAGAAACAGAAAGGCAAACGATGAAGAAATGGAAAAAAAAGAGAGAAAAGAAACTGAAAGGCAAACGAGGAAGAAAATTAACAAAAAAGAGAGAAAAGAAACAGAAAGGCAAATGATGAAGAAAAGGAAAAAGAGAGAGAGAAAAGAAACTGAAAGGCAAACAAGGAAGAAAAGGAACAAAAGAGAAAGAAAAGAAACAGAAAGGCAAATGATGAAGAAAAGGAAAAAGAGAGAGAGAAAAGAAACTGAAAGGCAAACGAGGAAGAAAAGGAACAAAAGAGAAAGAAAAGAAACAGAAAGGCAAATGATGAAGAAAAGGAAAATAAGAGAGAGAAAAGAAACTGAAAGGCAAACGAGGAAGAAAAGGAACAAAAGAGAAAGAAAAGAAACAGAAAGGCAAACGATGAAGAAATGGAAAAAAAAGAGAGAAAAGAAACAGAAAGGCAAATGATGAAGAAAAGGAAAAAGAGAGAGAGAAAAGAAACTGAATGGCAAACGAGGAAGAAAAGGAACAAAAGAGAAAGAAAAGAAACAGAAAGGCAAATGATGAAGAAAAGGAAAAAGAGAGAGAAAAGAAACAGAAAGGCAAACGATGAAGAAATGGAAAAAAGAGAGAGAAAAGAAACAGAAAGGCAAACGATGAAGAAATGGAAAAAAGAGAGAGAAAAGAAACAGAAAGGCAAACGATGAAGAAATGGAAAAAAAAAGAGAAAAAAAAAAAGAAACAGAAAGGCAAATGATGAAGAAAAGGAAAAAAGAGAGAGAAAAAAACTGAATGGCAAACGAGGAAGAAAAAGGAACAAAAGAGAAAGAAAAAGAAACAGAAAGGCAAATGATGAAGAAAAAGGAAAAAAAAAAAAAAAAAAAAACAGAAAGGCAAACGATGAAGAAATGGAAAAAAGAGAGAAAAAAAAAAAGGCAAGAAAGGCAAACGATGAAGAAATGGAAAAAAGAGAGAGAAAAGAAACAGAAAGGCAAACGATGAAGAAATGGAAAAAAGAGAGAGAAAAGAAACAGAAAGGCAAACCATGAAGAAATGGAAAAAAAAGAGAGAAAAGAAACTGAAAGTTAAACGAGGAAGAAAATTAACAAAAAAGAGAGAAAAGAAACAGAAAGGCCAACGATGTAGAAAAGGAAAAAGAGAGAGAGAAAAGAAACTGAAATGCAAACGAGGAAGAAAAGGAACAAAAGAGAAAGAAAAGAAACAGAAAGGCAAATGATGAAGAAGAGGAAAAAGAGAGAGAGAAAAGAAAGAGTGTGGAATACAAACAACATGATGAGAGAGTGATAGAGAGAGGAGGGGAAACAGGTAAGTATATTAATCAGTGAATAAACACTACCCAATCTGTTTTTCCCACCATAATCGTAAATCGCTTATGTTTGGCTGTAAGCAATTCAAATAAGACTTTTGGCTTTTGTACAAATAATGCTTTGCTTAAAGATGAGGAATTGTCATTAATCTAAAAAAAAATTTTTGAACTGTTGTTCTCATTTTCGATTGTTACCTTCTACTATGTTCCGAGTGCCTTCAGGTTATAGGTGATCATGGCTCTCCACAACTTCCTATCATTTGTGGACTTTAATAGCTTTTCTCCCTTCGCCAAGGCATCCGGTTTCCGTTCTGCCATCAAGCTCGTCACATCAGTGGTCACGCTGCCTACCCCTCTTACTCTCAATATACATTGTGTGTGTTATATTTTCCAAGCCTTCTTTCCTCATTATGTGTCCAAAGAATTTCAACTGTCTTTTCCTGATTCTAAGTATAAGTGTTTTTTTTCTGTTTCTATTTTCTTTAAGACTTCCTTGTTGCTTACTCTCTCCATCAATGCAATTCTCAGTATCCTTCTGCAGAACCACATTTCTGCTATTTCCAGTTTTCTCCTCGTCCGTGAGGTGATTTTTCAGCATTCACTGCCAGATAAGAGGGTGGATAACACATAGCAATCAAGCACTTTTTTTTCTGTCTCTAACGAATTTGTTTTCCTTTTCTCAGCACCTTGCTTAGCTTTTAGAAGGCTTCTTTCGCTAGTTCAATGCGTGTTCGGATCTCGGTGCCACATTTTTCATCATCTGTTAAAACACTTCACAGATATTAAAACATCGGCAATTGCTTGATTGATTCGTTTTTGTTTTTTTTTTTACGGCTTATCAACCATTTTCAGTTTTTTTTTGTTTTTTTTTAAGCGTTTCACCCCAAGCAAGGCGGGAAGCCACTAGGACGCAAAGGATTTCGAGCAAGATCAGATAGGAATGATAGAGGAAAGGATGATGAGTGGAATAGTGGATAGATCAAGGCAACTGGAGATGTCGATTAACATTACATTTGAATAGTTGGAGATTATAGCTCTCAGGGAAACTGGAATTGGGAAGGGAGTTCCACAGGCGAGAGGTGCGATACATGAAGCTATTGGAGTAGAAGAGACGGCTATATTTAGAAGTTTCGTCAGTAAAAGGGTGAGAGCGGGATGCCAGCCTAGTAGGGCGATTGAATTCATGAAGTCTGGGAACCAGCGAATGCAGCTCCTCTGAGCAATTACCATGAAAATATTTGTAAAAAAAGACAGGGAGAGGCGACGGCACGTCTGTGAGAGAGCAACTGTAGACGAGATGCCAGAGCAGGGCCAATTATATTGCATATCCGCCTCTGAAGCTTATCAAGAACCCCGAGGCAAACAGAAGGGGCTCCAGACCATATATGGCAGCAATACTCCATGCAAGGGCGAATTGTTGATTTGTAGATCTGGAGGATCGATTCCGGGGAGAAAAATTTCCTGGCGCGGCACAGGGAGCCAACTTTCCTTGTGGTGGACGAAGCAATTGACTCAATGTATTTGTTCCATCTCAGGTCAGCAGTCAACGTGAGACCAAGCAGCTGCAAAGAGGTGATCTTGAGAAGTTGAGCGTCAAACATTCTAATGGAGGGCAGGGAAGGATCTCTGTGATGATTAAAGTCAGGAAATCTTTTTAGATTGTAATGCTTTATAGTGATACAAGTCCTACTAATTAACACATAGCTGGAGGGAGAAGAGGTGGATTCAAACCTTTCCCAAGGGTATTTGCGCATAATATAACGAACTTAACGGGAATTGAGACACGGCTCTCCGATTAACAATTCCTAACCATTATTCATGACACCAGCTGTGCATTCAAGCTTACAGCAGCTGGTATTCTCAAGCGGTCACCCATCTAGGTACTGACTATGCTCAACGTTGCTTAACTTCGGCGATCGTACGGGAACCGGTGTTTCAACGTGATGCGGCCGTAAACCTGATGTTGACATCTCCAATTTGTAACTAGCATCTTGGGCTTTTTCTCTTGCTAATGACCAGACTTTCTGTCTATTTTCAGTTGATAATTAGTCCTTTCTTCTCGCTTTCTTTTGCTGCCCTCTTGTTTAGGAGGTCGTGTAGTTTTCCTTCCGAGAATTTTATCTGCGTATGTTATACTGATAACATTACATCCATATTACTCCTTGCCAAGTTTCCGGTTCTCTTAAAATAGTCTCACTGTAGAGGTTGAATAGGTCCGGTGAAAAAACATGTCCTTTTCTTGCACTCCTTTCTATTTTGGGGTATCCACTCTAAGGTCGTAGCAACCTAGGGAGGGAATTTGGCACCTAAATATTTTTACCAATTGTAGGTTTTTTTTTTTTTTTTACAGGGTTTTTTTTTTTTTTACAGGGTTTTATTTTAACAAAATACAATACAGACAGAATTACAAGAAAGAAAGAAAAAACTATCAAAGCAAGGAATAATCAAATATTTCTTTTCTTCATTAATGAATTTGTTTTCCCTGTCAGTCAGTTATGTGCCATGCATGAGACAAGCTTAAGCGATCATGTATCTTTCTATACATAACTGACTAGGAAAATTTTTACCCGCATTTCTTTCTGCGGTAGACCAGTTGCCATTCGAGGTCTGTCCTGCTATTTACCTATAGCTGTGAGGGGGGCGAAGAAGAGGATTCGTACCTTTCCCAAGGGTATTAGCACGTAAGTAAATGTAGTGGATTTGACTGGAATTCGAACTCGGCTCTCCGATTCCATAATCTAAGCCGTCATCCATTACTCCACCGTTTCCCCTATACACATTATTTAATAATATAATAATAATAATAAAAAAGATGAAAAGTACTTTTATTTGTAACACAGCCGGTTTTCTATTATTTCAAAGACGATTTCTGCTACTAAATGAAGATAGCCAAGTTTTACTAGGCAGGGATGAATGTGAATTTAAGCGTATTTATTTATAGAGAAACATGCCATACATACACACACACACGCACAGGCACACGTACACACACACACGCACATATATATATATATAGAGAGAGAGTGTGTGTGTATTGGCGCAGCAGCTCGTTATTCAAACATATATTGTTAAATATAACAGACAATTTATTATGTTTGATCATGAGCAGTTCTAAGCTTCGTATAGTGGTTTTAGTTTCGGGAGAAAATAAAGACAAAACCTCCAACATTTGGATATTTTTATTATGTTGTTTCGCCATCTAAGCTTTCGGTTCACGTGAGTCATCATCAGAGTGCTTATGTAGGGCATTACAACAGAGATGTTCACCATCAAAGATGACATCCTGTTCTGTTTACATAGAAGTTTGCTATACGATAATAACGGTCGCGGAATAGGAGACGCAGGTCGTAAATTCTTAATGTGGTTCTATGACGTCGTACATGACCACGTGAAAGAAAGAAATGTTATCAACAGATACAATATATATATATATATATATATATATTAGGTATGTCTGATTGAATAAATTAAAAACATTATGTCTGCTTATTTTTATCATAATCCTTTCATATTCACGAATATTTTGCGTATATACAGTGTTACAGTGTATTTCTTGCCTAATTTAATTGTAATATACGGAAAAATATTCGTGAATATGAAAGGATTATGATAAAAATAATCAGATATAATATTTGTAATTTATTCAATCAGACATGCCTAAAAGAGAATTTGCTGCCTAAATACACACACACGCAGACACATGCACACGCACACTCACACACACACACACACACATATATATATATATATATATATATATATATATATATAGTATTTGATACTGTCCGCTCTTTCAGATATCTATTTCGATCTTCATACATAATGCGGTGAACTTTATTCTTACTTATAAAAGTGTGAAACTCCTACTTTGGAGGGGGGGCGGTGTTGCAATGCATTATCGTACTGTTAAGCTTTTTTTAGAAGCCAATGTAAACTATAAACTTGGATACCTATGACTGTCTAAGAATTAGCAAAGACGAGTGTCATGAAAATATATCCCCCGGGTATATCTGAGGGGTGCCAATTCTTCAGAATTACATTGATATGGTAAGTCGTTGTAGCCAAGCAAAAGCGGTCGTCACCACAGCTGTCAGTAGATGAGAGAAACCGTGCCTGCTGTATGTAATGAATACTTCAGTCGTACAGAAATTCGGACAAAATGAAATCCTAAAAAAGCGAAACCCCCTAAACAATTATTTTTGTATAATTTATATTATTTTTATCTCTCTCTCTCTCTCTCTCTCTCTATCTGTCTGTCTCTCTTTCTCTCTCTCTCTTTCTATATATATATATATATATATATATATTATAATTATTTTTAAAACTATGATTCCTTCGCTACATAAGAGTTCTCATGTTTCAAAAACGAGAGCCGAAAACCTCAATATAATTATTGAAATTAAATTGAGTTAAAGTATCAGGCCCTGTTTCATCCTCAAGCGAAAATTACTTTGGAAACGGCAGGGGCGACCATTTTGACGTGTTCTTTCCTATTTTTCTACATATCTGCACACACACACACAAACACACACACACACACACACACACACACATATATATATAATTACAGGGTGTATCAGAAATACTTTTATAAACTTTAAGGGTAAGTTTCTCACACTAAAGGTCCATATGAACTTATGTCCGTAAATCCTTCGCGTTTGAGTTATTAAGTTTAAAGAAAGTTTACGGTAGATGGCGCTGTGTTGCCATATAGACTAGGTTACATTTGTTATTCGTGTACATTTGTGGCTAGTCTATCTTCAACGCTTAATGTGTGTAGTAGTAAGTTAACTGAGAACTGTTCTGTTTAACAATGGCAGAGTATTCATATCGTGAGAAGGCAGATATGATTTTTACATACGGCCGTGTGAATGGTAATGGGCGCGAGGCTGCACGGCTGTATCAGATTGCGTTTCTAGACCTCAAGCAGCCGAGTCATCCAACCTTTGCTGCTGTTTATCGGCGCGTTGCTGAGACAGGATCCGTGCCATCACAAACTATGGATCGCGGAAAACAGAGATCCGCTCGTACGACTGACCACAGGCTGTCGGAGACGATCCAGGTATCAGCACAAGTTAAGTTTCCCTAGCATCTCTTACATCTCGTCGTACTGCATGGAGGGTACTCCATGAGCAGCTCCTTTATCCGTATCATTTGCAACGTGTGCAGAGTCTTTCGTCCTCTGATCAGTCACCACGAGAGAACTTTTGCCGATGGTTTATTGCAAAAACTGCCGATCCGTTGTTTGTCCCTTGTTTATCGACGAAGCAACTTTTGAAAGAGATGAAATAACAAATTTACACAACCAACATTTGTGGGCGGATCGGAATCCCACAGGCTAAGAACCAACATCAGTTTACTATTAATGTGAGTTGGTAGGTCCATATGTATTACAGAAGCTGTCTCCAGAGACTTTATTTCTAACACACTTTCAGACCTGCTAGTGGATGTACACCTGCTAATACGAAGACGCACGTGATTCCTGCATGATGCGGCTCCAGTAGATTTTAGTTACATTGATCACAATGTACTGACATCTACTATGAAAGATGGATTGGTAGTGGAGGACTGGTTCCATGGCCTGCTTGTTCTCACAATTTCAATCCTTTGGATTTTTATCTATGGAGCCACTTAAAACCATTGGTTTAAGCAGCAGACATTAATAATGCAGAGACGCTTCATGAACGTATCACGGGGGTTGCGAAACCATTCAACACTGTGTGGGAGTACTTGAAAGGATCTGCCAGTCAAGTGGATGTGTGTGTAGTAGCCGACAAGTGGATGTGTGTGTAGTAGCAAGTGGAGGACAGTTTGAACATTTGTTATTAGTTGGTGTGTTAAGGTACAATGAAGGCCTTTTGGATATATGCTTATATGGACTTTTGTATTGGTTTTGATATATATATATATATATATATATATATAAACAAAAAGAAATGCACGTTTGCCTTGATAAAATCCCTTAGATTACGAACGCATCGGCTAAGCTAAGTTTTCTTTTTGTCTTTATTCATATTGTCTTTTTACATTTATAGTCTGAGATTTTCACACACACACACACACACACACACACACACACACACACACACACACACACATATTGAGGCAATCGGATGTCTAGCAACACAGATAAGCTGTGAAACAGCAAAACAGGCTCTCTGTGGATGACAATATATACATGCTCCTGAAAAGAAATTATTTCGGTTGAGCTCTCGGAAGAAAAGTCTAACCAGTGACTATTACTGTTGCTGATGCAAGACTCTTCGTTTAGACGAATCGAGTTCTCAGGTCACTGGTGTATTTGTTTAAAAATAAATACGTCTTAGTTCACCTTCAAATTGATACCAAATCAGTCGAGTTTCGATCCAGCCACACTATGAAACAACGAAATAGTCTGTCTGTGGGTGACAATACACACACACACACACACACACACACATATATATATATATATATATATATATATATATATAGAGAGAGAGAGAGAGAGAGTGAGAAACTGTGTGAGTATCATCAATACAGCATATTGACTGGCAGTTTCAGGTCTTATGTGACCATTAAGGGGACTCTTATTTGTAAAGCTTGTCTCTGTATATAGGTCACTGGAAGCTTATAGAAAGTGGGAGTTATGTAACCGTTTTTTACTATTTTTAGGGCTGAAAGTTTTACATTATTTTAGTAATGACCTTTAATATCTCTACTTATTTATTTTTAAAAATATTTTTGTTGTATTTCTTTTATTATTTTTATTTAGCATTATTTATGTTTTTGTATTCTTTCTTCGATTTTAAAGTTCACTCTTTGCTTTTAAAGATATTTTATTAGTTTAAGTCATGGGTTATGGTTTCATCCTTGGATTCGTGATGTGGTTATCGGTAGTGAAATAGGAATTTGTTTTCATGTCTGAACTTAGAAATGATCTCCGAAGTTTTGTAGGAGTTTGTATTTTTCTGG